TGAAGTTATTAGTTTTGATATTTTATCACAGGTTTGATTACTTGAGAATGATAACTCCACCAATGTTATTTCAGGCTGTTCCTGATGATGCTTCAAAGCTATCTGGATTCAGAAGATAATAGAACTTACATCTGAATTTGAGAAAAAATTAGAGGATATGAAGATAATTTCTGCAAGCGATAACAAGGATAGAAGGTTGAGTGAGTATGCACAAAATATTGAAGTTCACTTTGTATCTAGGAAGAAAATTGAAATTTTGGCAAAAGCTATAAATTTTCTTCTATAGTGCGATTTTTCCCTTCCTCCAGTGAGTAAATTGCATTTACAGACCTAATTTCCTTTACAATCACTTTGGAAGTTATAGTCTGTTAAAGCGTTCCATTCAAGGCTCGTGGAAGTAAAGAGGATTTTTCTGAGCAGGTTGTTCAATTGCTTTTTCTATCTGAGAGATGTATTATCTCTAAAGCAGGAGCTCATCTTATGGAATCAGTGCATCAAACTCTTCGGGTAATCTTCTTTTCAGTTATAAGAATCAGTATAATCTTCTTTTCAGTTTCAGGTAAAGTTTTGATTTTTATTCCTTTTCCAGTATTTGCCTTCATTTTCTTACATTGCTATAAACAAAAGAATATCACAACAATTTTAAAGTTTTGGGTGGTTTTATAAGTTGAACATTAGCCAAGAGTATATCTCATATTCTGATATTCATTGAACCTATTAATAATTGTTTTCTTTGCTTAAGTTGACATTTTTTCTCACACACTGATAACTATTCCCCAGAGGGATCACAACCCTCTTAATTGGTTACAAAACAGGTTCCTAGCCAATTTTATTAATTAAAGTAATCCAAGCTCAAAAAAGGATCGGTTCTAGCAAATCTTCAGAGAACCAAAACTTTAGATGAACTCTGGGTCAGTTGTTGGCTGGATTGGATTTAGGTCGGATTAGACCGATAATTTTAAATCATTGAAAAAACAAATAATAAAAAAACTTAGAGAAAAATGGATTTCCAGCATCAAATCATCCTTGTCATGCTCGTTAGTTGCAACTATATCCACCATCGAGCCTAAAGGCCTGACCGAGTAGGGATTGATTGACTTAATATCAACACAGGTTGATTCTTATAAAGGTACTCTCACATTGGTAGTTAAGTTAACTATTGCTGCTCAAACTCTTGAATAGTCAAAATATGCGTTTTTCTCTTAAAACTGAACTGGTAATGAACTTCTTTGTGTTTATACTAAAAATAGTTACAGTATTTTGATTGTCTTTATTTTTGTAATGATATTAGTAGTCATTACGTATAATGACTTTAACCATATTTATAGTGTTATCCTTAATACCTAAGAAGACCATTTTAATAGATGTCAATTTTCTTACATTGATGAAATATTCAATTAGTCCACCTCAGTATTATACTCGATGTTTTCAATTATGTCCCATTGTGGGTTATAACTTAGATTTAGACTTCTTTACATTACACATAGTGTGCTTCTTCTGACTTCTATGTCAAAAGTTGTCCTGTTTGTTCCCTTATACTGTAAATCATTGTTGTTCCCCTCAATGGTCATACTGTAAGTCAACCTGAAGAAAACCTAGGCAAAATATACTTTGGCTCAGAAAAGAATATTAGAAATTTAGGACATACTTCAGCCTGAATGTATTGAACCTCTTTCACTTGGAATTAAGCATTCTTACACTTCTCTTCATTCTCAAACAAAACGCAGACTTCATTGGCCGTCAGATCAATGTCTGCACCTGGTAAGTCAGTCTTCAGAGGTACAGATCCAAAGGTGAGCACCTGCTATTAGTGCCCCCATAAGAAAAAATATCATAAAATTGAATTGAAATATAAAAATTGTATTGATCACTGTGTGTGTTTTATGGTATTTAAAATGAAGGGGACTGGTGGTAGTTAATCATTTGTTAGTTAGTTTGCATTGAGTGATTACAAATTGTTGTTGTGATGAGCTGTTAACATATAAGAAGAGCTCATTGGAAACGCTCTTCGATGATGAGATGTATTTCTTACGCTTGGCTTCTGAGATCCTATCACTCAATATACTGAAAAATTAGACTGAGTGGCATA